CAGGGAGCCCGATGCGGGACTCGATCCCAGGACTCCAGGATCATGACCTGAGCCGAAGGCAGTCGCCTAACCAACTGAGCCACCCAGGCGCCCCTCACAGCCAGGTTTTAAAACTGTTCAGCCCATCGGTCCTGCGGGAAGGAGAACGGGAAGAGGGCAGAGGGTCAGAATGAGCAGGGTCTTTCTTCTTCCTCTCTCCCACCCTACTCAAGGGCCTCACCATCCCAGCACAGCTTAATGGAGTCATGGGAAAAGGAAAAGAAGAAGAGGAAAGAAAGAAAGATCCAGTTCCCAGGACAGATCTCCCACTCCAACTTTGCTTTGGGTACACACTGTGGCCCAGGGAAATCCCTCTTCTTTTCTAGAAACTTTTGTGCTTTAAAAAATATATATATATTTATTTGAGAAAGAAAGTGTGTGTGTGTGTGTGTGTGTGTGTGTGTGTGTGTGTGTGAGCAGGGAGAGGGGCAGAGGGAGAGGGAATCCCTAAACAGACTCCATGCTGAATGTGGATCCCAACTCGGGGCTCGATCCCGGGACCCTGAGATCATGACCTGAGCTGAAATCCAGTTGGCAGCTTAACCAACTGAGCCACCCAGGCGCCCTTAAAATCCTCTGTGCTTTAAGGTCCAGTCCGGTGAGTCTGGATCATGATTAATGGCACAGTATCCAGATCAGACAACAGAAACCAGCTTGAATTCTGGGTCCACCCCATGCTCACTCTATGACTTGAGCCCTTCTTCTCTCTAAATTTCACCTTTTTTGGCTGTGAAATGGAGATGGGACCAGTATCCTACCTCCCCTCCAGCTGCTCTAAGGATCACAGAAAATAACAGGACGTGGCATGGTCTCTGATGCGCGGTGAGTGCTGTATCTAGGTTTTTACTGCATTACTGTTGCCATCGTTCTTATTTTGAATCGACTAACCAGTTATGGATATTTTTCTGTCTGGAACAGGAAATAGGCAGGAAAGGGGTTAGTCATAGCAGGGCTCAGGCATGGACACTAGGGCTTGGTATTCCAGTAGTCTTGGATGCCACCAGCTGTGCCAGGTCAGGCATTTAGTCCAGTTCAACAAATGCACTTCGAGAACCAGGGTACAGGTAACACCACATTGTCCCTGTCTGACCAGCACCTGGCCTACCAGGGGAATTCCGCAAACACGGCTGTCCAGTTAAAGTGACATCATGTGAAGTTGGAGACCGCCCCTCTAAATAAAAGACTGGCCTCTGAATCTGAATTAACAGACATATTATCTTGATCCCTCTCCTCCCCCAAATATATATATATTGTATTTTAATGAAATAATTTCTGTTCAAAGTCCTTTGAAAACATTCTCTGCCAATTGATTTAAAATATATCTAGGCAAGAGTTGTGTCCTAGATACCCTTTAAGAAAAACATGGTTCCAAACATTTAAGTCCTATGAGGGACTGTACAGAGTTTGTCTGTTTGCATCCAAAGCATCTGTCTGCCACTGTGTAGACATGGTTGAATTACGCTTATTTAGCAATTTGGCATACAACCTCTACTTCAACTTTCTTTTTTTTTTTTTCTGGTCATGAAAGGGTGTTAAAGCCAGAAATGAAATGATGGTGTGGGACGCCGCTCTGATCCCCCAACCAAGCTTCAGAATTCATTCTTATATTTGCAAAAGAGGATCTGTATCTTAGATATCTCACAAAACCACTTGCCTTTGTTAGGCCAAACAGAAAAACGTAGTAGGATAGGTAAGCAGTCTGTTAAACTGAGAAGTTGAGCTAATTCATCAAGAATTATTTGGAAGAAAGATGTGGGCCCACACTGCATTCTTGATGTCCTGTAAGTCAGGACTCCAGTGGCAGAGCTCTGCTGAGCTCTGAGGAGGTCTTTTCCAGCAAATTTTCTTTCCCACTTGAAGCTGAATGTCCCTTGGTATCCTGGGGGTCATGGGGACATGGATGGATGCACACAGGGGGACTGGAGCTGTTATCTGTAGGTGCATTCGGAGCTCTGCATTTATCTTTCTGCACCAATAAAAAGATGAGCAAGGGGAACATGACCTTGACCTCTGATTTTCTTTCATTGTCAACAAAGTGACCCTCGGCCTGGGTGAGAAATTTAAAAAGTTGCTTAATTTCTGTGACTTTTACCATTCTGTTGGAAAGAAAGAAAGAAAGAAAGAAAGAAAGAAAGAAAGAAAGAGGGAGGGAAGTAGGGAGGGGGGAGGGACAGAGGGGGGAGGAAGAGAAAAGAAAGAGGGAAAGGAAAGAAAGAGATAGAAAGAAAGATAATTTTGAGAGCTAATATTAAAGTATTAAGTACCTGAAACAGTGTCTTCTATGGTCTCTCTGAGTTGTATGAGGAGCATTTAGAGAGATCTCTCTACACCAGCAAGCTTCTTTGCCTGTTTAGAGATGAATAACCTCTGCTGCACCAAGCTCATCTCTCTGGGCTGCCCCTACCCCATATTCAGGTCCCCATACAGGGACAGGGAGACAGGGATGCAGATGTTTGGCATATTCTTGAATTTTTAAGTTGTTCCTTAGAACTTCAAGGATTTTGTTGTCATAATTACAACTCTACCTAATCTTTATTTGATTTGGGGAAAAGAACACCTTCTTGTCCCCAAATAGTTTCCCAAATACTGTCATTAATGCTTTCAAACGAATCACTGGCATCCAAGCTTTGGTGGCCTCAGGAGCAGAACCCTCCCCTGGAGCCCTGCCCTCCACCCATCCAGCCCTGCCAGACTCCCTTGGGCTCCTATGCCATGAGCTCTGTTTGCTTTGTGGATGACTTTTTCTTCCCCTAACTCCTTCTTCCTCCAGCCAACTTCCACTCATCCCTCACATAACAGTTTTAACCTGGCTTCCCACAGGAAACCTTCACACCCCCCTCAACCAGGACCTGGGTGCTTTATCCATGCTGCTCTGGTCCCTGAAGGATGACTCCTAATGCACTTGATGCAACTGTTTTTCGAGTGCTTGGTTCTTGCTCTGTGACCTCAGGGACTACTTCCGGCTTACCATTATACTTCAGTGCTTAGCGCCATATTTGCACGTAATAAGTGCTCAGTCATCTTTGATGGGAGTAACAGAGAGAGAAGACAGGAAGACACAGAGGAAGGAAGAGAAGAAGCGAGGGAAGGAAGATGAATAAGACAAGAAAGGCCAAAAGTGTGTCACTGTGGAGGCATTCCTAATTTGTCATTACCTGGCCCCCCCACACACACACATGCATGGGCCTCTCTTCTTCTCCGTTTTCGTCCCTCCTCTATTTTCTCCTCTTTACAGAAATACCAAAATTAAAACAAAGTTAAAATCATTGCTACTCCAGTGTGTACCCCAATTTGATCCTTTTTTTTGGTCATCCCGGGCCCCCACAATTCAAGTATATTTCAAAGCCAGTTTAGTCAACAAGCATGAAGTATCATGTCTTTCCCACACACATCTCAATAAATGACAAGATATGTTTTATTAAAATATAATTTTTCATTTAAGTTTTGAAAATTTCACAAAAGTTTTAAGTCATCAAGTAATTCCACGTTGACAATGACATTGCAAAACTAATAAAAGGAAGTCACGAGAAATCATATTATTTGGGCATGCAGGTGAAGATGAGGCACATCTTGGCAAAAATCTAGAGAAAATGTGGTCTTTGGATAGACACTTTACTTATGATTTTATTTCATTTGTAACGAATGCCTGAAGTATCCATTTTTTGATAAAGTGATGTCTATCTTATTAGTAAAAAGAAGCCTTGCTTACACCTAGGAGATATCCAAGCTGGAACAAAGTTGTGTCGAACCTCTTTAGGACATCTCCCATAGAATAAAAAGGCCCAAGCCATAGAGGGCTATAAGATGAGACACCGCACAGTGTATGAATTAGATGTTTTTATTTTATTTTATTTATTTTTTAAGTAGGTCCATGCCCAGCTTGGAGCCCAACACAGGGCTTGATCTCAGGACAGTGAGATCAAGATCTGAGCTGAGTTCAAGAGTCGGACACTTAGCCGACTGAGCCCCCCAAGTTCCCCAACTGAGCCACCCAAGAGCCCCAGTGTATGAATTAGATAAAAATATTTCCAAGAAGTTTTCCCTTACTTTGGGTAAATTTCTCATTTTGTGTGCAGAGAAATCAAGAAAAGAAAGAAAGAAAGAA